GGGGGGGGGGGGCACCACAACCCAAATCTCAAATCAGACCTGAACTCATTGATGCCTCAGGCCACCAGAGCAAGGCTGGGCCCGGGCCTCCCTTCAGCCCTCTGCCCTCTTCCTTCCCTTCCCGCGCCTGCTGTCCCAGGGTGGGAGAGGGCCCCGCCTTACGGTTGTCCTCGTTGACCGGGCCGTAGCAGACCTCGTAGGCGGTGATCTCGCCGTTGGTCTCGGCTGGCTCGGCCCAGCTCAGCTGGGTCACAGTGGAGGAGACAACGTTGAAGGCCAGGCGACCCGGCTCACTGGGCACTGGGGGGGTGGGTGCAAGAAGAGGCTGTCAGGGGCAGGCTGGGTGCCCTGGCCCTGAGCTGGCTGGGTGAGAAGGGCGAGCCTCACCTTCCTGGTGGGTGCGGCAGGTCACCAGGGAGCTGTAGGGGCTCTCGCCCTGTGGCCCGTAGGCACACACCTTCATCTCATAGTCGCAGTACGGGTAGAGGTTGGTGAGCTCCACAGAGGGCACCTTGCTGTCCATCTCCTGGACTTCGGCTTCCGAATCGCCCTGGATCCAGTACTTCACCTGCACCCGGGAGGGAGGGAGAGGTGGTCAGTGGGGTGCAGGGGTCCAAAGCTGCCCCTCTGGGCCTGGGAGCCCTGCCTATGGCCCCGTAGCCCATGTTCACCCAGCAGGGCTCTGGACAAGGGGGTTCTGGTGGAGGACAGCAAATGCCTGATAAACTCAGGGACAGATTCCTCCTCCCTGAGCTCCCACGGGTGCCCCTGCCATCCATCGTGTCTACGCATGTCTTCTCCTCACCCAGCGACCCTCAGGACACCCACCTCCCTCCTCCTCTAACCCTCCCTGACTCCCCACCACCCCACTCCCGTCTCACCTTGTAGCCCAAGGGCTTGCCAGGAGGGGGGAGCCAATTGAAGTGGATCTTCCGGGATCCGGCGGCCTTGGCATTGGGGTTCTGTGGGGCCGCTGGGTCGCCACGGGAGACCAGGAGTGTGGACATTGTCTGGCCAGTGACTGTCAGGTCAGTCTCATCTGTAAATGGTCAAATGCAGGGCAGCCCGCCCGCTCAGACCCCTCTGAAAGTGGGACAGGAACCTGTCCTCCAAACCACCAGGGGGCGCCGGAGACGCCTTTAAACACCAGGGACGCTTCACCGGCTCCCCCCTGAGCCCTATGCTCGGCGGTCCCTGGGGGCTGGTGCCACCCAAGCTTGGGGGGCGTCCGTGGGGGGTCTCCCGCTCTCGGCAAAGGGAGTTTTCAGAGTACTTCCCCTCCCCCAACAGCCCTCAGCCTGCCTCCTCCTCTCCCCTCCCCTTGTCCCAGCAAGGTTTCCAGGGATGCGGATTGACCCCTGCCCCCCAAACTCCCTGCCGCCTTCGGATGCACTCAGAAACCCAGCCCTGCGGGGCAGGGTAGAATGCCTCCCCCCCCAGGGTTTCCAAGACTGCCACTCAGGACGGGACTGGAAACCTCCTCCTTCTCCCCGAAAAGTGGACGGTGCCTCGGAAGAAGGGTTCCCGCGGATGGACAAACAGGGGGCCTAAAGCCCAGGGGATACGACCTGGGGTGGAACGCCCCCCGCCCCCAGGCCCCGTGTGGCCTCAGCCTCCGGTGGCAGGGGCAATATTGACAACCCAGTGAATGTAGATCTCGGATGAACAACAAACACGTAGTAGTCTACATCATGTCGATTCTGACTCAGACCCACAAGGGAACTGCTTCTGTGGGTTTCCCAGGCTGCACCTCCTTACGGGAGTAGAGAGCCTCATCTTCCTTTAGAGTGGCTGCCAGTCAGCAGAGCCCGGCTAGAAGCTGACTACCCCTGCTTCCGTTCTTCGTGAGCCTACACAGGGTTTCTGAGGCTGTCTGTCTTCATGGGAGCGGTCGGTCCCGTGTTCACCTGACTTTAAAAAGCCCCAAACTCCCAGCCATCGAGTCCAGTGGGACGCACAGTGACCCTATAGAACGGGGTACAATTGCCCCTGGGGATTTCCATGACCACAGTTCTGGATGGGGAGAGAAGGCCTCATCTCTCTCTCCCGTAAAGAGAGCGATGATGGTTTTGAACTGCTGACTTTGCAGTTAGCAGCCCAATGCCTAGCCACTACCCCATCAGGGCTGCGGCTTACCGGACAGGAATCTTCAGATACTGCCCAAGATATACTGATATTAAAAGAGTGATCATTTTTTATCCAAAATTCACATTTCACTGAATTTTTCTGTACCGGCAGTTTGGACCGCTAAACACGAGGCTCCCAGCACCCCCTTCCTCCTGGCTTCAGTGCAGGCATGCCCACCTTGGTCCCCGATGATGACGGTGGCCGAATGGGGTTGGCCCAGGCGGGCCCCGAACTTGGGGTTGCTGAGGTGAATGTGGAAGCGGCGGGTCTGGCGGCCCCATAGGAGGGAGTCCACCTCCTGCAACTCCAGCAGCTTCACCTGCAGCTCCTTCCAGCTCTCCTCAGCATTGAAGAGCAGCTCGCCCTCCACGGGGATGTAGTCCTGAGAATGGGGGTGGGGAGAGGGGGGGTGGGCATCAGGCCACGGCTGAGGAGGTGGCCGTGAAGTGGCTGCTGGCTTTACATGGCGTCTCTGGTGCACCCAGTGGCCCCCTGTGCCGCATTTGTTTCTACAAACTGGTCTGTTCAAATCCACCCGGTGGTGCCACGTAAGAAAGGGCTGGCAACCTGCTTCAGTGACAACGACAAGGGAAAGGCCAAACCAAAACCGCCCTAGGGAGCCCTCTCCGCTCCATAACCTGCACTGTCATCGTGGGTTGGAACGGATTCAAGGGCAACGGGCGCAGGAGTGGTCAGATGGTCTGATGCTCACAACAGTGTGGCGCAAAGGGCATGATACGAGCACCCCCTCCACAGGTGACCGTGCAGGGGCGGTAAGGCTAGCCCACACTCATGCAGGTGGGTGCATGGTGGAGCTAGGATTTGAACCAGGACTGAAGAGACAGAGCCAGGACTGACCTGGCAAGTGACAAGGTTGCCCCCACCACACACAGGCAGGCGCCCAGCCCTTTGTGAAGCCCTCGGGGGCTGAGACTTGCAGGAAGGACTGCGCCCGCCCTGTGTAGACTCTGCGATCCCATCTGACCCGAGGTCCTGCCTGCTGGGTCCTTCCGTCACCTCCTGCTTCTTTCTTCCCAGCACCCCAGGGCCTCCCTGCGTCTTCCAGGAGGAGTGTGCACGTGGGTGGGGAGTCTGTCTGTTTTAGTGCCACACGGAGCTGCTGACCGCAGCAGGCAAGGGGAAACAGATCCCTCTCTTGCAAGACCACAGCGCACCACTAGGTGGTGCTGCCAACTAACATTGCAGTTCCACTGTCCAGCTGCCCAGGGCGGGGAAGGCAGGTTAAAAAAATCATTGAAATCAAGGAAATTCAGAAAATGCCACTGCTGTGAAAACCAGGGCCAGAGAATTGTTTTAGGTGCCAACGACGCATCAACATGCCGTGTCAGACCCTTGGTTGGATCCTGGATTGGGGCGGTGGAGCAACATGAAGGTCATTAGGGGGACACCTGAGTAAAAAACTCAAGCTCACTGCCTCAAGTCACTTCTGACTCATAGCTACGGTGGTGGTGTCATGAGTCACGTCTTAGTCTGCTAACCGCAAGGTCTGTGTAACGATTGAGCCCCAGAATCCTACAAGGCAGTTCCAATCTGTCCTGTAAGGTCGCTATGAGCCAGGACTGACAACCAGAAAGAGCAGACGTCCTGCAGGCACAGTGGGTCACAAGTTGGGCTGCTCACCACCAGGTCAGCAGCTTGAATCCACCGGCCACTCCTTGGGAGAAAGAGGAGGTTTCTGCTTCTGTAAAGATCCACACCCTCCCAGACTCACAGGGGCAGTTTGGCTCTGTCCCGTGGGGGGTGGTGACGAGTCCGAACGGACACCTGGCAGCAAGGATGGGTTCTTGGCAAAGTGTCAACAGCATGGTGTTCGAAGGGCCGGCAGCGGACAGCAAAGGCCCCGTGTCCTGATGTCTGCAAACCGCTTTGCGTTCCGTCCAGCAGGCACAACAGGAGACAACAGACTCTCAGGCAGGGCTAGCTATCTCGCCTTGGATCTGTTCTGTGACTATCTAGCTGTAGGTCTCTACTTCTGTCTCACGCCCCAGGGGGTTCAGGAGAGAAAGGGGTCGTGTGCCTGCTGGGGTCAGAATCACAGCCCGGGAGGCTCCCGCAGTGCAGTTGTCCTCTGTCACCTGGGGCTACCCTGAAGTGGAATCGGCCTGAAGACGCCCAGAGCTACAGCCTTGTACCAGGCCTCTGCCGAGCCAGAGAAGGCGAACAAACGAGAAATGTTCCTACCAATCAAAAGGAGTTGAGAGACACGGGGCCTGGCGGGGCCTGAGGCACCTTTGCTGAGGGCAGAGGCTCGTGGTCAAAGTTGGAGATCGTTTTTTGAACATGAGTTGTTAAAAATGCTTAGACATTGGTAATGACTTCAAAGGGCGCTTGACCACTAAGTGCTTGACTAAGAGCTGCCAGTTCAAACCCTCCCAACCACCTGGTGGTCTGCTCCTGAGGGGTCCCAGAGTGGAGCTGGTCTATTCTGACCCACACGGGGGTCACCGGGAGTCGACATCGCTTCGAAGCAACGGACAACAACACGTTCTGCCAGAAGAAGCCAGCTCCTAGCACAATCACTACGGGTTTGGTAGACGCAATTGTACAGCGATAATAAGTAAATATTATAGTAAGGTTATAGAGAGCATGAGAGATAAAAGAGATATATAGAAATAAATGGAGTCAGACACATATTATGGTAGCATTGCTCACCTCAGCCCCTCTTGGTGGTCCACGTGGAGGGAGTGAGAAGGGAAGGAGGGAAAGGGAACAAGGGAGAGGGGAGTGACCAGGGAGTGAGCAGCAAGGAGCTCAGAGTCAGAGAGAGAAGTTCGACCTATATTGCTGACCCATGCCTATATACCTTTTGGTGGCAAGCCAACCCACTAATTACAGGTAGAGACATACGTCACAGGGAGGGACTGCACTATAGGTTACACAGTAATGAGGGGATGGTCTAGGGGGTGGTCTCTGGGTCTCCATAGGAACATTATCAGTAGAGTGCAAACCCCTCCTACAGGAACCAAGTTAATGGTCCCAAGCTTCAGAGAGTAGTCTATTGTCTCCAGCAGCAGGGAGCAGGCCCAGCCCTGCTGTGGGATGAGACAGCAGTCTGGCAGCAAGTATCTGACTTCCCCCCACAACGTTCAAAATGAATAACCACCACCACCACCAAGGCAGACCCCAATCAAGCCCCCCTGAGCCAAAAGGACCCATATGCCCCCAGGAGGTGCTGCCCCAGAGAAAGGGGCTCAGATGCACAGGAGGCCTTGCAAGGCTGCTCCTGTTGGGCAGGTCCTGCCAGCAGACACTGAAGGCCCTCGGGGCGGTGGCCTAGGGACACGTGGCCGGAAGCCCAGCTCAAGTACCCAAAGCCCTAGGCCAACTGGGGAGTCTGTTTTTCTCAGAAGGGCTTGGCTGTCCTGGGGACCCTGATGGTGGGAGAGGACACGCGACGTTCTGGCCCTGGTTCCTGGCCGTGATGCGCACCAGACCTGACCTCACCGGGTGGCAGGATGAGTGGGCACAACTGGGAGGCCAGCCCAGGAACTCAGGCCACTGCCGGGACCTGCAGCACCCCGGGCATCCACAGGACGTGCCCACAGCCCTGCGGGCACCTTACCCGGCTGCCCTGAGCTGTGTTGTCCTGCGTGCGGTAGGAGACCTGGGACTTTCCACCGTCCATCACTCGCCGGACAATGGGGATGCGGGCCACCTTCTCCCTGCGGCTGACGAAGTATTCAGGCTTCTCAAAGGACACTACACCGCTGGCTGCAAGGAGACCAGGCTGGTTAGGGCTTCTCGGCGTTCCACCCGGTAGCCAGCCCAGCCCCGGCTCCAGGAGCCTGCACGTTCCCTTCAGCCCTACACCCCTCTGGGGAGGTGCAAGAAGTAAGAACCTTCCAGAAAAAGTCAGAGCTGATGGGCGATGGAGAACATGGTTGACAAAGTCACACTGTTCATCCTGCTTCGATGAGTGGCAACCGGGGTTTGAGAAGCCATGAGCAGCCATGTGGGGTCCAACCATCGGTCCCTCCTTGTCCAGAGCACAGAAAGCAACAACAACCTCAAAACCTCCCCGCCGTCCAGTAGACGCTGACTCACAGTGACCGGGGACAGGGGAGACTTGCCCCTTTGGGTTACTGAGACTGTAACACTTCATAGAAGTAAAAATCAGGGAGGAAGGGGAAACCGACCATAATGATAGACACATAACCACACCGCCAGGGGGACGGACATGGGGAAAGGGAGACAGTGGTTGGTGTAAGATATGAAAATAATAATAATTTATCATTTATCAAGGGGTCACGAGGGGGGGGAGGGGGAAAAGAGGAGCTGATACCAAGGGCTCAAATAGAAAGTAAATGTTTAGAAAATAATGATGGCAACCTATGTGCAAATATGCTTGATACAATTGATGGATGGATTGTTACAAGAGCTATAAGAGTCCCCAATAAAATGATCTTTTAATTAAAAAAAAAAAAGCCTATCTTTCTCCCTCAGAGCGACTCGTGGTTTTGAACTGCTAACCCTGAGGATCGCAGCCCAACACGTAACCAGGGCTCACAGAGGATAGAGGAAAGGAGAGCGATGAAAAATTTAAAACCACATGGAAATAATTCGTCCAATGGACTCATGGACCAGGCAGACATCAGCCTCTAGGGCCGCGGGACCAGAAGAATAGGTGGTGTCCGGCTGTCTCTCCCCACAGCTTTGAAAAGCGTCCCATGGGGACGTCCTGGAGAGAGTCGGGGGAAGAAATGGGAACAGAACTCAAGCTCCTAAAAGCAATCAGGCTCACTGGTCAGAGAGAGAGGACCTCCAGGATTGGTCACCCTTCAAGTTCTAGAGCTGAATGGCCCCTGTGTTGGAACCATGGTCCACCGAAGACCGACCCCAGGACAGAGTTCAGAGACAGGAAACGCAGGGGGGACCAGGGGTGGTCTCTCGAGGGGATGGGAATGGACGAGCTGAAAGAATGTGTATGATTTGTGGAATGCACTCCTCTGATCTGCTTTCTAAACCTTCACCTAACACACTCAAAAGCAAAAAAAAAAAAAACCCAAACCGGCAAGGCTGAGCAGGACAAGATCTGTGGGTCCTGGGGGACAGGTGCGTCATGCCAGAGACTCAACATGGGGGAAGACAAGTCAGGTCACTAGAGCAATGCCTGCCCCCCACCCCCCTGCACCCCCAACTCAAGCCTCCAATTCTTCATTACCCCAAAGGCGCTTGGACAAAGCGAAGTCCATTCCCCTTCCTGCCCTGTATTCCCAACATCCTAGGGGGCTGCTTGACACCCCCCCCTCCCCTCCCCCTGGTATTCAGAGAGGCCACCAGGCAGAGAGGAAGGAGGGGGTTCCAGTAGGCGCCCCTGCTTCCTGAATGTTTATCTCCTGACAAGGGGGTTTCGCAAAGAGCTTCACAACCGCGGACTCCCCATTTTGCAGACGGGAAAACCAAGGCTCACAGGGGTTAGGTCACTTGCCCCAGGTCACATGACTGGGTATGACGAGGAGCAGGGTGCCTCAGGAGGCCCCAGGGGGTGCCCACAGGTAACGTGGTTGCCTGCTAGCTAAGGTTAGACATGTTGAGCCTACCCTGAGGGGTCTTAAAAGCAAGACCTTGGAGACCCTCTGAAAAATCAGCCCGGGCGGACTCTGAGGAGCACGGGCCCACAGCCACCCTCCTGCCCCACTGCCCGCGCACCCGGACCTTGCTCCTTGATGATGGTGATGTGGACCAGGCGGCGGCCGATGGTGGCTATGCCCGTGGGCACGTCAATGGCCTCTACCACCAGCTGCTTCTCGTCGTCGTCCTCGGGCCGGATGAAGAGGGGCACTCGGACGTCCACCAGCTCCACGCCCTCCTGGAATTCCACCATGCCCCGGGCATCTGTGGGGGGGATCGGGACGAGGGCGGGGCAGTCAGATGGGGGCCAGGGACCCACACCAGGGCTGGGTCGTGGGAGTGTGGCCGAGAACTTGCCGCCTACCCTGGTCTGCAGTCAGGGTGTAGTACCCAGGGGCCACCTTAAGCTCGTGGAAGGTCCTCTGCTCCACCTGCCGCTCTGTCAGGTTCAGCAGGGCCGCCTTGGCTGAGCGGGGTGCCATCAGCACCGTGTCCACAATTGTGTGGTCCTGCCTGGGGTGGAGAGTCAGGTTGGAGGGCATCAGGCTGGCAGAGCCCAGGCTCATCAGACCCACCACCCTCGACCTACAGCTGCGGACCTGGTTGAGCCTCAACCTCCTCCTCCTCCCCCATGAATTGGGAGCCCCTCTTATTCCCTGAGAAGGGCCGGTGATCAGAGGAGGAGGGAGCTCAGAGCAGGCCAGGGGGGAAAGGCTGCGCAGTCAGGGGTGCCTGGGTGCAAATCCTGTCTCTGCTTCCTGATAGCTAGAGACCTGTGAGGAGCCCCAGGGGTGCAGTGGGCTGCTCGTTGGGCTGTTAGCTGTGAGGTCAGCAGTTTGAAACCACCAGCTGCTCCTTGGGAGCAAGATGAGGCTCTCTAGTCCCCCAAAGATCTACAGCCTCACAGATCCACAGAAAGCTGCTGAGTCGAATGGACGGAGCTTTTTGAGAGAGAAGCAAGCTGTCCAACCTCTCTGAGCCGCGGGGAAGCAGCGGGGCCTGAGAGGCTGAGGAAAGGGCTGGGTGAGACAGCACCCAAGAAGCCCTTGGACAGACGCCCGGTACAGCACCCGCAGACACTGCTGGCCTCACTGGTTAGAGCTGAGAGCAACGTGCTCAGAGATAGAGCTGCCTTCTGCTGAGACGTATTTCAGAGGTGTGGACAGATGCAATGGACAGACAGCGGGGTCCCCCATGAACTTCTGATGCCCACGCTTAGAATTCCACTCTGTGTCCTCTCAGCACCGAAGTCCCCTCCCCTCTTTCCTCCCCGGAAAGGCCCGGAGCTGGGTGCGCACTGGGAAAGAGGCATCGAGTAGGCCGCCTCCTTGATGACTGGACCAGCCAGAGGCGCCTCCAGAGGTCTGAAGGAAGGATGGGTGGGGCCCCGGCTAAGCCTGGTACCCTGGGGGAAGGGCTGTGTCTGGGCTCTGGGGCTGGGACACCGCTCCCAGCCAGGCCTTCGTGTGTGTGGAAGGAGCGGGACCTAAAGGAATGGAGGGCCAAACCACTCAGGCACCCCCACCCCCTGCTTCCTGTGGGCGGCGCTGGGCTGGAGACAAGGCAGGAGGCTGGGGCGAGCGGGTGGGGCAGGGAGCAGACTAGGTTGGCTCCTAGCAGAGGGTGCGGGTGAGGATGGGGGTGGGGGTGGGGGTGGCCAGGGGGGCTGCCTGGTCCCCAGGTGTCTTCCACTCACTTTTTCCCGGCGTTAGGCTGCTGCCTGCTGGGCACAAGCAGGGGACATGGCATCAGACAGTGCCCAGAGGAGGGCTGGGCAGGCTGGGGTGGGGGCAGGGTCTCCCTGGGGCTTAAACAGCCAGGCGCTGTATGCCTGGACAACGCCCACCCCCCGCCTTGGCCCGGGGCCTGGCTACCCCTCCTGCTCTGGACTCACCGGAATGTCGTGTGCTGGACCTTGTGGGCACCTGTGACCTGCCTGTACACCTCGTTGAGCTGCAGGGTAGGGGACGGCTTGAGTCTGCAGCCATGGGGCCAAGAGGCTTCACAGTCACCCCCCCCCCACCCCCCCCCGGGCCCTCATGAGTGGGTGAGCAGCCTACTCAGCAGCCCCCAAGCCAAGCCAAGCAGACCCCTCAGGAGGCCTGGGGGGCCCACAGGGGGTGTTTCAGGACACCTAGGCCCTGCAACCTGCCCCCACGGCTGGGAATAGTCACAGGGACACAGCTCCCAGGTGGACCCCTGGCCAAGGAGACCCCTCATACCCAAGTGGAAGCCAGAGATAGTTCTTCTGTGTCCCTGTCTGCGTCCTGCCCCCGCGTGCCCAGGGGAGCCTGTGTCCCTGCCCGCCCCCTGTGGCCCTGTGTTCCCTCCTGGGGCCCTTACATTGTCCTCCACCTCCTGGCGCAGCTGGCCACACTCTCGGGTGTCCGGCTTCAGCAGGTTCTCGGTGCAGAGGCGGGCAAGGCGCAGGGACAGCCCATAGGGCACTGGGGGCAGGCAGGAGGGGGTGTCGTCAGCCCCCCACCCAGCAGGCACCATGGAGCCTCCTCTGGGAGCCACACCAGGACTGCAGGGCCACTAGCCAGCAAGAAGGGACCCCAGGTGGCCCGGAGAAACAGGAAGTGCGTGGCCCCGGGCCCGGGCAGCGGTGAGGGGGCCCAGCACCCCCACTCCCCGCAGGGCCAGCCGGGCCTCACCCAGCTCGGTGGGGTTGGAGCTGGCCGAGCGGGAGGTGAAGGCGGGCCGCTGCACGTTGTTGGTGATCTTCCAGCGCACGGTGTCCCGGCCTTTGAGGGCGCCGCTGCGCAGCAGGGGCGTGTCCAGGTGGTCGGAGGCCATCAGGTTCTCCCGCAGCATGTAGTGGTCCTCCTTGAAGCCCACCATGCGTCCTGTGGGGCAGGGTGCTCAGCCGGGGGCCCTGAGTCCCACCTGCCATGGCCATTTGCCGTCGCCATGCCATTCCGGACTCAGCCCCCATGCCCTTTCCCCCTCCCTGCCCGGTGCAGGCCTGTACCTTGACTGAAGCATGGGAGGAGGGCCAGGCAGGCCTAAGAGAAGGGAGAGGTGAGGTGGGACAGGCTGTGGGGTTCGGCTGCCACCTCCCTGCACCCGGGCCAGGGGTCCAGAGGGGCCAGGGTGCCTTCCCTGAGCTCTGCTAGTTGGTGGGGGCTTAGAAAGGTGTGGGGACCCTGTGAGGTGGGACTCTGGGGAGTGGGGACCCTGGAGTGGGATCCTGTGGGGTAGGACCTTGGAGGGTGGGACCTTGGAGGTTGTGAATTGGGGTTGGGATCCTGGGGTGGGGGGGTGAGACCCTGAGGTGGGACTCTGGGGGGTGGTGAGACCCTAAGGTGTGACCCTGGAGATTGGCCCTAGGGGTGGGCCCTGAGGGTTGACCCTGGGGGGTGGGACCCTTGGGGGGCACCCGTGGGGGGTGTCCTTGGGGGCCTCACCTTGCAGCAGGCACAGTACTTCCAGCAGAGCAGCAGCAGCAGGGCCAGGAGCAGCAGGAGGAAGATGAGCAGGGGGATGAGCCACCAGAAGGCCCCGGGAGGGCAGTCTGCGGAGGAAGGGGGCTGTGCCTATCCACTGGGTCTGATGGGGAGGGGGCCCACCTCCATCCCCTCGCAGCCTGCAGCTCACCCTTCTTCCGGTGCACCAGGACCGTGCTGTTGGGCCCCGGGGCGCCGTCGCCCTCCACCGTGTAGCTGTAGTTGCAGTCATCGTCCTCGTCCCGGAAGGAGCAGTGCTCCACCACCTCCTCCGCTGCCCACGGACAGTCACAGTCAGCAGTGGCCCACACGCCCTCAGCTCCGGCGGCACCCAGCCCACCCTCCACCCTCTGCGGCACCACAGGCATCAGGAGGCACCGAGCCCGCGGAGGGGTCCCCCAGCCGAGGCACTCAAGCACCTGCAGGGCTTGGGGCCGCTTCCCGAGAAGGAGCGAGCGACCGGCCACACTGTACCTCCATTCCCCAAGAGGGATGGGTAGGAAGGGGGCTGCCCTGGGCCGGCTCAGGGCTCAGGGCTCTGGATTTGCATCCAGGAGCATCCCCGGCTGTACAGCTGCTCACTGCCCCCCTCCTACCCTGGCTGTCCCCACAGCTTGGCACCGTGGCGGTGGGTGATCGCCCGAATGAGGGGAGGCCGGGGTCCCACCCTGATTATGGGTCCTGCTTGGCACACGTGCTCCTGCCTGCCCACGCCATCTGCGTTCTGCCTGGACACCGTTGTGGGCCTGCGGTGTCCCCTGCCCCCAGCCCCCAGCCTGCCACTCACCGTTCTTCAGCTCGTCCACCATCTTGACCTTGAAGCTGCACTGCTCGCACGAACGGCCCTTCTTCTCCCCGGTGCCCCAGGCCTGGCACTGCACGCAGGACCGCAGGTCTTCACAGAGGCCCAGGCGGATCTGGGAGCGAGGGAGGGAAGTGGGCAGATGGGCGCTGAGCTGGAGGCCCCCCAGGCTCAGGGTTCAGCCCTTCCGTCCTTCCCCTGTGCCCCTCGCGCCAGGCTGCCATGCCCAGCCCACGCTGCATGCAGACACAGCGGTCCCAGCCTCACCGCCGAGTAGTTGATCTCGCAGGTGGTGTCCGTGTAGAGGGATTGCTGGCTACAATGGCAGCGTCCACACTCGCAGTGGCCACGTCCGTTACAGATGCCCTGGCCGAGGGGTGTGGGGGAAGGGAGGCTGGTGTACCAGCGAGCTAGCCGTGCCCTCTCTCCTGGCTCCCCTGCCCTCTCTCCACCAGGCACCCTCTGAGAGAGGGCCCTGCTAGCCTGCCCCAGTGCCCAGGCCTACCCCGTTGCTGTCTATGCAGGTGGCATTGCTGAGGGGACAGTCACAGCCCGGGCCGGTCCAGCCGGGCTCACACACACACTGGCCCATGGTGCAGTGTCCACGGTCTGCAGAGGCGGGGGGAGGGAGGGAGAGGAGAACCGTAAGTGGGTCTGCAGTGCCAGGCTGCCCACCTGCCAGGGAGGCCCTGTGGGAGCTGAATCCTGGAGCTAGGGCATCCTTTCTTCCTGTCTCCTGGAATCTCCTCCTCAGCCCACCTTCCGCCTCCACCCTGCAGCCGGAGTACTTGTCCTCCCCCCACCCGGCAAATCCCATCGCGGGGGCCCTCCTGTTTAACATCTAGGGCAATGGATCTCAACCTGTGGGTCGCGACCCCTTTGGGAGTCCAACGACCCTTTCACAGGGGTCCCCCGATGCATCACAGTAGCAAAATGACAGTGATGAAGTAGCAACGCCACCACGTGAGGCACTGCATGAAAGGTTCGGCATGAGGAAGGTTGGGAACCACTGGTCTAGGGGGTCCCGGCCAATGCATTACGACAAGAAAAAAAGTGGCCCCACTACCATGACTCGAATTCGATCTTGCAAGACTGGCTAGACCAGAGGATGTACACTGGTACAGATAGGAACTGAAAATACAGGGAATCCAGGGCGGATGAGCCTTACAGGACCAGTGGTGTGAGTGGCGAAACAGGGAGGGTACAGGGAGAATGGGTAGGAAAGAGGGAACCGATTACAAGGAACTGTGTGTGACCTCCTCCCTGGGGGACAGACAACCGAAAAGTGGGTGAAGGGAGATGTCGGACAGGGCAAGATATGACAAAATACCCATTTATAAACTATCAAGGGCTCATGAGGGAGGGGGGAGCGGGGAGGGAGGGGAAAATTGAGGACCTGATGTCGGGGGTTTAAATGGAGAGAAAATGTTTTGAGAATGATGTACAAATGCGCTTTACACAATTGATGTGTGTATGGATTGCGATAACAGTTGTATGAGCCCCTAATAAAATGTTAAAAAAGAAAAAGAAAAAAAGTGGCGCTGCTTCCGGCCCTCCCATGACCACAGAGGATCCACAGGCAAATGACGAGGCTCCAGGAACCAGCTCAGCAAAGTGGCTGGACACAAGGTTAATTGACAAAACAGTTGGAAAATGAAATAAAAATCCCCAATGAGCCCAGCTGGTGCAGCCGTTAAGCACACCCTGAGGGAGAAAGCCCGGCTGTCTGCTCCCTCCGAGAAAGCAGTACGGGCCTCTCTGCTCTGCTCGGTCACACGGGTCCTCAGGAGCCACAACTGACCTACCAACCAGACCCAACCTCGGGGGAAGACCAGCTAACCCGCCGTGAGTCAATCCACTTTCTCACTTGTTTCTAAACTTGGAACTAAACTAGTTAAGCACCCAGCCCATGGTCATGGGCACGGCTTATGGCTGCAGAGTTGAGTACCTGTGACAGAGGCTGTGTGGCTTCCAAAGCTACGGAGATTGAGTCTCCGGCCTCGTGAGAAATGTCTGGGCCTCCCACTCTGGCCCTGCCTCCTCCTCCCCACCTAGCCTCCACCTGCACCAACAGCCTGCCTTCCTCTTAAGCATTCTCTGAGTACCCCTGGGGCCCGCAGAATGGAGGGGAACAGCAGGGATGGAAGGAAAGGGTGACCTGTCCCCTCCCCACCCCAATGCATGCCTAGCAGACAGTAGGAGCTTAATAAATAGTCATGAGCCAATGTTCACTAGAGCATTTGATGAACCTATTCTCACTCTCCTCCCATTCAACCGCCCCATCCATCCATGTGGCAACGGACAGGGGTCCCCTGTCCCCTGCCCAGCTCCAGAGCCCTTGGGCCTACGATGTGCCCACCGCCAGCCCCCTGTGGGGACACAGATCAACACCTTCCGGATCAGAGACCACCATGCACTTCACCTGCCAACCACTGAGTGGGGCCTGAGCTGAGTGGGGTCTCCCTGACAAGTGAGGGGGGTGGGGTGGGCATGGGTAAGAGCTGCCAGGGGAGCGGGCAGGGCCTGGGACATCAGGTTTGTGGGTGAGAAAAGTGAGGTGCAGGCTGGGGCCGGGCTTGGGGAGCCTTGGCGGAGGCAGAGTGGGAGGTGGGCGCTCACCGTTGCACAGGAAGCCGGAGGTCCGGGGACACTGGAAGTTGTCGTACTCGCAGAAGGGGCCCACGTAGCGGCCCTCACCATAGCACACGCAGCGCCCGCACTGGCACTCGCCCCGGCCGGAGCAGGGCTTGTCCTCGCCGTCCAGCACACAGGGCTGCGTGTCGCTCAGGGACCCCGTGGAGCAGTTGCATCCCTTGCCGCTCCTGGGGAGGAGCCAGGGAACGGTCATTTCCCAGAGCCAGGAGGAAGGCTGGGCGCTCACAGCCTGGGTGCAGGCCGGGCTGATGGCAGGGGCCGGGCTGAGATGCACCCCTCAGTGCCCTGCTATGCCTGCGCCCCCAACATGAGGCACAGCAGGCTTGCTCAGTGTCTCAGCGCGTTCACAGTCCAGTGAGCTGCCTCTGACTCACGGCGAGACCCCACAGGACAGAGGGCAACTGCTGCCCCGGCGTCCAGGCTGTGGTCTAGACAGAAATGGAAGGCCAGGTCTCTTTCTCCCAGAGCTGCTCGGTGGGTTTGAGCTAACAAACTTTGCATCATCAGCCCTGCGCTTAACTGGGGGACCACCAGGGCTCTCCAGAAGCCCTGACGATCATGTGGCCCTATTTCTGGGGAAGTAAGGCGGATGGGCTGAGGTTCGGAATGCACACAAAAGGCAGCCGAGGTCTGGTTCCGGCCTGAGTCTCCACCTGAGATTGGCCACCTGTGTCCATTCTGGGTGTCTTTACCAGTTATTGCACCCACGCACAGCCCGGCCAGTGGCATCCCTTTCCCGTTTGGCCCCCAGAGGGTCAGGGGAAACCCCCAACCCCCACCCCACTCACCAGCCCTCATAGCACACGCATTGCCCGCACGTGAAGTCCCCGTTGAAGTTGCACAGAGCGGACCTTGCCTCCTTTTGCTGGAACAAGACCACGGGGAGGTGTCTGGTGGGGTAGGGAGTGAGACAGGAGCAAGAGAACACCCAGGGGCTGGGTGGCCCACCCGCCCCGCCCGCCCGCCCAGTGGCCTGCAGGGTGGTGCGGTACCAGCTCGCAGGCGCACACGTCACAGATGATGCCCACGTCCATCCGGAGGCCATCGGAGAAGGAAGGCTTCAGGTGGATGTGCCCCCTCTGTTCCTCCTCGGGCAGCTGGCACACGTGCGTCCCGTCCACCGCCTCGACGGCCCGCAGCTGCACGTCGTACGTGCCCTGCAGGGAGTCCGCTGTCAGCAGAGGCGGGCTCCGGGGAGGTGGCCACCCAGCTCCACACCGCCACCCTTCCACGGCTGACGACGGCTCTGTCCTGGCACAGCTATTGGTCGTAACAGTCGCAGTGACCAGGACACCTGAGCCAGGTGTAGCTTCCTTTGTTCCTGTTATGAGACCTCATTCGCTCCTCTCAGCCACCTCTGGGGTCGGGACTCTGAGCGCCCCACTGTGCTGTGAGGCTAAAGAGAAACCGAGGAAGTTGCCAGCTCGGGACAGGTTGGGGGGTGGGATGAGGACCCTGGCCCCTCCGTCTGATGTCAGAGACCACTTTTGACAGTGCCTGGCAGCCCGCGCCCCGCACCGCCCTGTGCTGCCCGCCAGCCCCTGCTGACGCCTACCACTTCCCCGCGCCGGATGTGGAAGGAGCCCGTCTCTGTTTTCTGGAACATCTTGGAGGTGATCTCCGTCCTCAGGCCGCGGGGGCTGTCCAGGGCCCGGATGTCCAGGTTGGAGCGGATGCGCTAAAGGACAGCAGAGTGTCGGTGGCCGTGGGGGTGGCCTGGCCCGTCTGCCCTTCCCATCCACCTTCATGAAGGACTGGGGGGAGGCTGGGGTCATGTGAGCAGAGATGGGATCCTGGGGCCAGGCCCAGTGAAACTTCTCTACCCACACCCACACCCAGGGCTGCCTGAGACCCTTCATCCCTGGCACGGTCCAGGACCCCTTTCTCAACCTTGACTCGGCCCTGCGGGCCCTTCCCTGCCAGCCCACGCCTCCTTCCCCTCTCTGGCCCTGCCCTGGAGGGTCTCACGTTGAAGGCCTCTTGCAGCAGCTCCACGATGTTGGAGGAGTCCTCCTGCAGCACCCCGAGGGAGGACACGGGGAAGTAGGAGTGAAGCTTCTGCAGGAGGAAGGCCAGGCCCCGCTCAGTCCTCCAGGCAGCACCTCAGCGGGCCGTCTGTGCCACCCCCCCTTGCAGGTGGGGAAACCGAAGACTGGGGCCCCTCTGGAGTGTTTCACAGCCTGCCCTCTCCGCCCCCACGTGCTTGGGAGTTAGGCTGGGGCTCGGATACATGCCCTTCCCTTCCACCAGGGCCCGCTCTGGGGCCCCCCAAGAGCTTTGGGAAGTGTTAGGACTTAATGTGATAAAGCCTAACTACTACCCCAAAAAGCTCACTGTCATGGAGTTGAGGTCGACCCTTAGCGACCATATAGGACAGGGTAGAACTGCCCCTGTGGGTTTCCGAGACTGTCACTCTTTACGGGAGCAGAAAGCCCATCTTTCTCCCTCAGCGGCTGGCGGTTTTGAACAGCTGACCTTGCAGTGAGCAGCCCCCCCATAAGTAGGAGCCACCAGGGCTCCCCATCTGTGTACCCGGAACCCCAAGTGGGAGCAGGGCTGTCTGTGAGGTGGATGAGGGCCCAGAGGTGTGTTGTCAGCCAATCACTTCGGATATGTGAAAGGGAGACAGGGAAGGAGGGGCAGAGATGGAGATGGGTTTGTGGAGATGGGCAAGGGGGGGAGGAGCAGGACCTTCCTCCAGAGGGGACACACAGGGAAAGCCCCTTGAGAGCAGTCAGCACCCTGGATTTGGACTTGGCTCCTAACTGCGAGAAACTCCATGTGTTTGTTAAAGCCGCCCCCACCCCTTGTGCTTCTGCGATGGTGGCGGGAGAGAACTTGTGGGGTGGGGAGTGAAGAAAGGGTGTCTGAGCAGGATCTGCCCCCCCTCCTGGGTCAGCCCCCACCTCGTAGTAGCTGTAGGAGTAGTTGGTGACGGCAAAGATGGGGATGATGTTGTGCTTGGCGAGCAGGCGCACCAGGGTGGGCACCGACGGGTAGTCCTGCGTCCTGTACTGGGTGTAGGTGCCCGAGGCATCCAGGTGGCACTCCTCATCGTTTCGTCTCATGATGCCCGCCAGCACGTTGGCGCCGTCGGCCTCGTAGTGGAAGGCGGACTCGGTGGAGAACACCAGCAGGTGGGTGCTGTCTGGGCGCCAGCCGATGTCCCTCTAGGGAAAGCCAGGAGGGACACTGAGGCCAGTCACCACAGTGTCCCGTAGGGCAGTGGATGTGCACCCTGGCAAGGGGTGTGGCCAGGCCATCGGGGTCACACCATGTCACCATCCTAAACAACGATGTTGCTGAAGGGTGACGATGGAGAGACTACTGTGGGGGAGGAGGGAGGAATGCAGGCTCTGTGGGTCCCAGAGAGCCCCCTGAAACAGGCTTCTCCGGTGGCCACTCCAGCTCTCAGCCACCCAATGGAAACAGTTTCACGGTACAAGAGAATGTTCAGAAACCAATCAATGTTCCGTGACAAAAAGCTGATTGAAACAGATGCAGCGGTGCCTCCTGCCCCTCCGGCATCCACGCGCGGCCAGGCTCCAACGACCAGTCTTTAGATCAGGTCGCAAAATGGGAGATGACCGCCTCATACTATAACTGCCAAATGACGTCATTCCAAAATTGCCAAATGACATCGTGGTGCAACTACCCAACCGCTGAGAATTACAGTCCAGCCCAGTGGACACAATCATCACAGCTGTGCGTTGCTGTTGGACATAACACAGATCGAGAGTAAAACAGACTGATTTTGCAAACGAGTGCCGCACACGTCAGAACGCGAGGCAGTCGCTAAGCGAGGAGTCCTGTATGTGGATGGGGATTGGTTAGAAATATGTAGGCGGTGACTTTGAAGACTGGCTTGTCAGGGCAAAGATGCCTATGCTTGTGCTTGGTGGGAAAGAAGGAAACCTCCGGGTCCCCAGGTTCCAACTATGTGGACGTAAGGAAGGGAAGACAATCGGCTGGCAGGGTGACCAGTGACCGACTACAAGGCTGACCGACTTCTGTTCCTGGTTTTCTAATGTGCCTGCAATTTCCCAGGCTGCATGCTTTTCAAAATGAAGAAAGAAAAGAATGGACAGGTGAAAGAAGTGTCCTCTTTCTTCAACTGGCCAGCACAGTTGGAGACGGGGCCACACAGACCATTCAGGAACACCAAGCCCATGCCCGCCTCGCTGGCTCATGTGGCTTCTCAGACTGCGGACCCTGGCTCCAGCATATCTACCCTGGGATGGCCATCTAGGACCCCCAAGAGGCTCTGAGTTTGTCTTGGGGCCTGGGGGTCGTGGGCTCCTGGCAGAGGAGGAGCTGGTCTCGGTCTGGCTGGGGCGCCCCAGTGCTCACCGTGCACACGGCTGTCTGCAGGATGGCGTCAAAGCCCCCTTCCGGAGCGTCCAGGTTGCCTGAGATGCGTTCTCCCTGCAGTTTACTCCGGAACTCCTCCACATCCTCTGTCAGGCTGATGACGTTCTTGAAGGAGAAGGGGGCTTCACTGCGGGGCCAGGGCTCCTTGAGCCTAGAAGAGAGGGACGGGAAGGGAGAGAGCGCGCGTCAGTGGGGAGAAGACCCCCCAAAGTTGGACTGGGTTCTGTGGGGTTCCCAGGCTCTGCTGATTGGCGGGCAGTACATTGCCAGGACCCGTGGACCCCAGGGCCTGCCTGGTGCCCTCTCTCTCTGGCTAGCACCCCCTTGTCTCATGTCATCCATAAGATGAATTTCCAGGGCTCGGTGATCGGGGAGACCAAGACCCCTGCCCCCCTGGGGCCCACTGGGTCACTCACTTCTCAGGCCGCATGTCCGTCTGGGGGACGCTGACTTTGTCCACAAACTTCCCAAACCCAATGGTGTAGTCACTGGTGAGGTGGCTCAGGACTTCGGCTGGACATCATAGGAAGGAGGGGACCGCTGACCCAGCAGCCACCAACAACAGCTATGGGGTCCACTCTGACACACGGCGACCCACTGTGGGTCGGCGTTGAACTGGGCCCCGCAGGGTTCCAGACCTTTCTTCCAGGGCACTGCTGGGTGGACTCGAACCACCGACCCTTAGGATAGGCTGCTGAGCTTTTAACTGCTTATGCCACCCAGGGGTCCGGAGCTCCAATACTCACCACCTACCGCACCGCCCCGAAAAGCAGACAAGGGCTCCGGGACAGGCTTGGGAAGGAGGACATGGGGAAGAGCTACCGACTGCCAGGACGGAACCGTGGTTCATGCTCCTACGAGCCCTTGTTCTTAAGTACGGGTGAGGGAAGTGGGGCTCGGGGGCCCTGAGCCAAGCAGCCGGCAAGTTGCTGGGCTGGGTAGCTAACGCCAGCTCTGTTGGCTGAGCTAAGATCTCATGGAGGATCGATCCTCCCTCCTTGTCCAGGCAGCTGGCTCTGATGCCCGCCCTGGGCCTTTCCCGGTGGGTGTCTGCAGTGAGCAGGCAGGTGTGGTTGGAACCCTGCCTTGAAGATATGGGAGGGTGTTTTCTCGGGGAGGGGAGGGGGCTCAGATGTCCTTGGCTCGGCTTGTGGGGTGGGGACAGCAATGCTGAGGGCTGGCCACCCAGGCAGTTCTCTGGGTGCGGCCACCTCTCCTCTCGGCGCCCCACCCCCACCCCATGTCCTCTGTGCCAGCCGCTTACCCAGGTTCTGCCCCATCTGCTTGAGGTTGGCCAGATCGTCAGACATGGAGTTTGAGAAGTCCATGAGGATGTACAGGTCCACGGGGCTCTCCCCGGGCTCAAAGACCTCCAGCTGGAAGTGGCGCTCCTCCCCGGGCCGCAGCCTCACCCGCAGCCCCTGGGGGGACACCTGGCTGCGCCGCAGTGTTGTATCGATGTGGGTCTCCTGCATCCCCGGGGAGGGGAACAGCCGGCCTCAGGGGGAGCCTCTTGGTCCAGCCAAGGGGCACAGCAGACCCTTGGGGAGGAGGGAGAGCCCCGACCTCCACCCCCAGCCCCTCGCCGGGCACCTCTGTGATCTCAAAGCTGCTCTGCATGACCACCATGCTCTCCTGCCGGCAGCCAGCGGCCAGCAGCTCCGCCTGCGTGTTGCAGCGCCGCTCTTTGAACATCTGGCCAGCAGAGGACGGGGTCAGTGTCCATCCCCTGGCTGTCCTCACCCCTGGGTCTTGTTTTCCATGGAATGTTCTGGACCCTTGCCTGCTCTCCCACACCCAAGTGGCCTGAGACTGGGCTGAGGGTGGGGCGAGTGTGGCCTGGGCCAGGGCAGGGGTGGGGGCGGCAGGGGGGGGCCCCGACCTCGTCGGCGCAGTAGGCGCAGTCCTTGTCCACCCGGATGCACTCCGTGCAGCTCTTCACCGGCGCCTTCTTGCAGCGGTTCGCTGGGGGGGACGAGAGGGCAGAGGATGGGGGATGGACCTCGGGAACGGCCTCACCCTTCCCATGGGCGCCGCACTCGAGGGACTCGGAGGTCAGCGCTCAGGGAAGGCTCAGAGGCAGGTCTCACACCTGTGACTTTCGGCTCCAGTCTGGAGGGAAAATGGGAGCTGGAGACAGAAGTGCTGGTCCACTCACTCACTCACTCACTGCCTGCGGTCTGGCTGGCTCAGGGCCTGCTGGCGCCTGGAACCCCACCACCGTTCCAGAGGCTTGGGATGAGCCCACCCTGCCTGGTCCTGGTTCTTCATAGGCTCCCTGCCCCCATCACAGCCTCTCTTAGCAGAAGAGCCACATGGCTTCTTGTCACGTGACCCTCCTATGCCTGCCCGTCTTACCTGTCACCGTGTGCCCTGGACCCATCCCTGGGTGGTATAAATGGTGCACTTACTCGGCTGCTAACTGAAAGGCTGGTGGCTTGGTCTACCCACAAGTGGCTCAGAAGAAAGTCCTGGCGATCTCATTCTGCCAACTTAGCCATGGAATCCTGCTCCCCCCACTCCCCCCAGCCCCATCACACTTCCACTCTGACCCACGTGGGGTCCCCATGAGCTGCAAGCACCTTGTGGGCAAATGCAAGGCCATGTACTCAGTGGGGCCTCCAGAAATGAACGAGAGGAAATCTCAGCGTGTCCCTCATCTGTTGTTGAGATTCCTGCCAGCTCTGTCCCTTGGGACCTACTATGCGCAGTCAGTGAGGGCTCTCCCGGACTCCAGCCAAGGTCGGCTTGGTCAGCGGCTAGGCATGATTGTTAAGACCTAGCTCTATGGGCTCAAACAGCAGCTCGCAAGTTCGATGGGAGCCTTGGGGAGCAGTGAGTTAATGCTAGTGGGGGGAGAACAACGTAGAAAAGAGGGTGAGGATGTAACCGGCATCACTGAATTAGGCAGAAACCATTCAGCTGGAATACGCTCACCTGTGCCTAATCCCAACCACAGCAACAAACACAATACATTCTACATTTTAAAATCAGTAAGACACCGAGTAAGGGCCCTGTGGGGTAGCTGTCTGCCCACGTCCGTGGTGCAAAAGTTCCCATCGAGATCTAGTGCCAGCTCTCAGTACCTCCTCAACCGAGGAAGCTTCCAGGCGTCCGGGCTGGTGCACACCAGTTAAGTGGAGACTTGCTGAGAGCAGGGCTCAGAGGCGGCCCTCGCCCCCTCCAGATCCGATAGCGTTTCAACTCCACCCTCTAGAGGGTCCTCTGAGGGCCTCTGTCTCAGCTTAGGACGAGGAGAACGCCCCTCGCCCTCACCTCTCAGGCCCGCCCAGCCTCTGATCACCATGGTGACATGTTGGCTGGCAGAGTAAGTGTCTTAGCTCAAGGCCCCCCCCCTACTTCCCCTGCCCCCCCTTGTGTGTGAGGGCCATGCCCTGAAACAGGCCCCTGTCATACTCACCCATGTGGCCCGGGAGGCTGACACCCAGCAGGGCCACCAGCAGCAGCCCGGTCCAGGGGCCTGGGCTCAGTCCTCCCATCCTCTTCCTCCTGTAACAGAAGAGTGGAGCCTGATGCCTGATGCCGCCACAGCCCTGGTCCACCCAGGGTCCAGCCAGGCCCTGCCCACAGGGCCAGTGTGGAAACGGAGGCTCTGTGTGCTTCAAGTCCACACTGCTGCCTGCTCTACTGCCCCCGCCTGCCATCCTGAAACTGCTGGATGTCTCGCAGGTCTGTGCCCGCCCAGAGAGGCCTCACCCTCTGCCTTTGAGGGCTCCGGGTTGGGGGCAAGCTGATCCCAAGGCCCGGCTGTCTGTAGTGGCCTTTTGAGGGCAGGGCAGGCCTTGTCCTGTCCTGACCACTTGGACCTTAGCAGGCCTAGGTCAGGCTGGACAGAGACAGAGGGGGCTTTGACCCTGCCCACCTGGCCTCTCCCTGTCCTGGCCCCCTTGCTCTCTGATTCAGGTAGTGTGCCCAGGAGCACAGGCGCTTGGAGAGCTTTAGGGCCTGAGGAGGAAGCTCCCACTCAGCCTTGAATTCCCTCCCTCGCCCCCACCCCCTAATACTCACTACCCACCCCCCAACTTATCCTCCTGGAGTTCCTGGGGCCCTGAGCTCTCCAGCAGGTCCTGTCTTTAGTCAGCCCAGGGCTAGGTGACAAGTCCCTGCCTGCACACGGCCAGCTGTCCCCGGGAGCCCCTGGCTGCCTTGGGCTCATATCAAACCTTCTGAGCTCAGCAGGGATGCCGGGGGCAGCCACCAGCATTTTGAGGCCACTAGAAAGCAGTGGCTGGCCAGCTTCACAAGGTCTCAGTGCCAGGGGCAAAGGTCAGGGTCCTGCCTCCCTCTCCAGGGACAATCCCCCCACCACAGCAGCCCAAGACCACACGTGCCCACTGGCCTCCCACTTGAACCTATTCTCAGTTCCTGCCTAAGGGCACGACCAGAGCCCTTGGTCAGCTGAGAAAATAGGTCTGGGTCCAGGGGCAGGGGGCAGGAAGGTACTGCCTCCCTCACCTCAAACACGTGACCTGAGGTGGTCCCCAAGAACTCCAACACAGGTGAGACCAGCTGGAGACCAGCATCCCACCTGAGACAGCGACTAACGAGGGCCCTGGGCAAGGTGCCCTGAGCCCCTGAGGTGGGGCTCCTTGTGGGAAGTCACTTTCCTGCGGCCCTGGGGTGTGGGCACCACACCCACATGCTACACAATGCAGGCTCAGCCCCGGGGGCATCATTACCCAGTGGCACGGGGTAGCTGAGCCCAGCTCTAGTCTGCCCTCCCCAGGCCCGCAGGCAGGGCTCACCAAGTGCACCCTGTAAGCAGAGACACCCCCCCACACACACATACACATTCAGTGGTCACAACCAGCCTGTGCCCCGCTCATCATGGACCTGATAGTTATGAGCAAACACAAGGTTTTGTGCAGACACCCCGAGTTCTTATTTCACAGAGCAGGGCACCTTAGCCACTGTGGGACAGCACAGAGGACCCCCCCACACACACACACATTTGCCCCTGACTTGTCCCCAGGGGCCACAGAATGGCAGGGAGGGGCTGGCTATGCTCAGGAGC